ATTTTAAACATAAAAAGTGAAAATTACATATTCCTAGATTCCAGAACTATCTACCAGCGATGACCACAATTAACACTGTACTCTGTATTTAAAAAATTTTATTGATGCTTATTGTATTCATTTGGGCAGGCTAATTGCGGTAAAAAATAGACAAAAATAAAACTACGTTAACAGCCCTAAGATAAGCGAAGGCTATTACTTGCTCCTGGGACAGTCCTGGGTGGAGGAGAAGGTGGGCAGTCAGCCAGGGACCCAGGCCACTGAGCCGGGGACACCGCCATCTCCAGCTTTTGTTCAGGCTCACTCTGGGGTCCTCTCTATTCCAACCTGCTGTGACGCAATGGCATACATGTTTTCTTTCTGTTGGTGTCCCCAGCTTCCCAGCAACATAGTCGCCTCCTGCACTGTTTGGCTGAAATTGCGTTTAACGCAAAATTGTGTGATTCAAGTTCACTCTCCCAGGCATGCTTGGAACTCATTCAAATTCGGACTCCTCCTTCACCCTCTTCCTCTTATCAGAGGTTCAAGAGTGCTTACCTCCACTCCTCTCTGCTTTCTGTCTTTGAAAAGTTTATGCCAGCTGCATTCGCTTCTCACATCTGTCTCCATTAGCTAAGCTGGCAGTTCGTGCCCCTCCCCCTTCTGTGCTGCAGCAGGGTTTTTATTTTTTCTAGTTTTGAGGTATAATTGACATGTAACACTGTGTAAGGTGAAAGCGTACAATGTGTTGATTTGATGCATTCGTATACTGCAAAATTATTACCACCATAGCATTAGCTAACACATCCATCCTGTCATATAATTGCCATTTCTTTTTTGTGGTGAGGACATTTAAGATCTCTCTTAGCAACTTTCTTTTTTTTAAATTTTTTTTTTTCAACGTTTATTTATTTTTGGGACAGAGAGAGACAGAGCATGAACGGGGGAGGGGCAGAGTGAGAGGGAGACACAGAATCAGAAACAGGCTCCAGGCTCTGAGCCATCAGCCCAGAGCCCGACGCGGGGCTCGAACTCTCGGACCGCGAGATCGTGACCTGGCTGAAGTTGGACGCTTAACCGACTGCGCCACCCAGGCGCCCTTCTCTTAGCAACTTTCAAGTACATTAGCATGCTGTACATTAGATCCCCAGAATTTGTTAATCTGATAAATAGATGTACGCTTTGACCAGTATCTCCCCATCTCCCCGTCCTTCCCCAGCCCCTGGTGAGCACCACTGTAGTCCCTATTTCTCTGAGTTTGGCTTTTCTATTTTTATTTTTTAAGTTTATTTATTTTTGAGAGAGAGAGAGAGAAAACAAGCGGGAGAGGGGCAGAGAGAGAGGAGACAGAGAATCCCAAGCAGGCTCCGTGCTGTCAGCACAGAGCCCAACAGGGGACTTGATGTCATGAACCTGGAGATCACGACCTGAGCCAAAATCAAGGAGTCAGATGCTTAATAGATGCAACTACCCAGGTGCCCTGGAATTTGGCTTTTTTAGATTCCACATATAAGTGAAGTCATACAGTATCTATTTATCTTTCTCTCAGCAAAGATTTTATTTTTTTTTTTAAGTCACTTATGAGCATGATCAGCTGTCTTCTTACCTCAGAAAGTGGCTTCTTTTCCTTGATGTTTTCTTGAGGTAACTCTTGTCTGTCTGTCCCTTTTTGTACTCTTAGATTTCCCCTAAGAAATCCACCTCTTTTGTCTCTCCCCACGTCTCCTTGCAGCCTCTCCCACCGCTTTCTGCCCTTAGAGCCGTCAGGTAGCTTCAGCCTCATTTAATCAGCTGGAACCCACAGCAGTTTCTCCTTTCTCTAGCCACTACCCCTAAAGCGGCTTCAGCTGGCTGGCTGCCTTGCACTGTGGCTCTCTCTTGGGGCACTCACTCAAGTGCGACTTGTTCAACAGTACTCTCTCATGGAGCAGCTTTCCAGACTGCAAACCACACTCAGACAGTTTGCAAACTCTCCTAACTCATTTACATCTGACTGACAGCAGTTCGAACCCTTCTCCCCAAAAGGAAAGCTCTGACAAGGAGTTTATTGCTCACCAGAGAGAGAGAGAGAGAGAGAGAGCACTTCCACATGGAAGCATCTAAAGTATCTTTAGAGGGACACGTGGGACAACTATGAGATTGTGCAATGCGGTAGCCAAGTATCCCAGTTTACCCAGGGCGGGCAGAGCTCCAGAAATACAGGGCTTTTAGTTTCAAACCAGGACAAAATTTTATATGTACTTAAAAGTGGGCCTTTCTGGGGGCACCTGCGTGGCTCGGTCGGTTAAACCTCCACCTCTTGAGTTTGGTTCAGAACATGATCTCATGGTTAGTGTGTTAAAGCCCTGCATTGGGCTCCGTGCTGGCAGTGCACAGCCTTCTTTGGATTCTGTCTCTCTCTCCCTCTCTCTGCCCCTCCCCAACTCACACACTCTCTCTCTCAAATAAATAAACTTTAAAACAAATAATAAATAAAGTGGTTCTTTCCTGGGCATTTCGGTGGCTCAGTTGAGCATCTCACTTTGGCTCAAGTTATGATCCTGCGGTTCCGTGAGTTCGAGCCCCACATCAGGCTCACTGCTGTCAGGGCAGAGCCCTGCTTCAGATGCTCTGTCCTCCTCTCTCTGCCCCTCCCCCTCTTGTGCTTTCTCAAAAATAAACAAACATTTGAAAATAAATAAATAGAGGCACCTGGGTGGCTCAGTAATTTAAGCCTCTGCCTTCAGCTCAGGTCATAATCTCATGGTTCATGAGTTCAAGCCCCACGTCGGGCTCTGCACTGAGTGCAGAGCCTGCCTGGGATTCTTTCTCTCTCTCTCTCTGCCCCTCCCCCACTTGTGCTTGCTCTCTCTCTCTCTCTCTCTCTCTCTCAGAGTGAATAAACTTAAAATTTTTTAAAATAAATAAAGTGGTTCTTTCCATGTAGGATCAGGATCTTGATTTGGGGGTAAGGGGTTTCAAGAGTCTTGGGATATAAACTATTGATGCTTTCTGTTGAAGCACTGATGTGTCTTTCAAGAAGTTCCAGTAATGAGCAATAACATTATCTGTCTCTGCAAAATTTATGCTAATGAATACAATGGACCAGTAAGTTTATCTTAATAAGACAGTGAGCTGAGGTGGGGTGAGGGGATGGGTAGATGGTTTCTGTTCTCAGAGTTAATTCTATCCTCTCTTTCCCAAGATATGTCTCATACTCAACATCCTTAGTGAAATATCAAACCTAGTGTTTTGTTGTTGTTATTGTTGTTGTTTTTAAATTTGTGTGAACATTGCATCACCTCCAACCTCAAGTCTCTGATGTCTGTTCTAGCTTTCAGTCCATTCAGGAGCATAACATAGTAAAACTATTGTTCACAGAGCCTTCACTGTGTGCTCGGCTACATGTCCAACCCCTCACAGACATTATTTAATTTTCACAAGAGTCTTCTTAAAAATGTGCTATTATTATCCCTATTTTATAGATGAGGAAACTATGGCTCAAAGAGGTCAAGACACTTGTCCAAGGTCATGTAGCCAGAAAGAAGAGGCAGAGTCAACAGTTGATCTGAGTTCCACCTGAGTACTCAGCAATAAGAAGGAGCAAAGCACTGACATATGCTGTGATGTGTATGACCCTCACAGACGGCATGCTAAGTGAAAGAAGCCAGATGCAGAAGACTACATATGTATAATTCATTTATATGAAACATCCAGATAGGGCAAATTTAGAGGTAGAAAGCAGATCAGTGGTTCCTAGCCATGGAGGACGGGGTGGGAATTAACTACAAATGGGCATGCAATCACTTTTGTCCTTGACAGAAATTGACAGAAGTATTCTAAAACTGGGGTATAATGGTGGCTGCACAATTGTATAAGTTTGCTACAAATTACCTAACTGTATACCTGCAATATGTGAATTTTATGAAAATTCTTCCTCTGTAAAACTGTTAAGAAAAAGTCCAGGCCAGATGCTAGGTTGTGACTCTCTACCAGTGGTTGTTCTAGTTGTTACTTCTAGTTGTTTCTATCAACAAGTGGATGCACGTTCCTTTAGGTGCCTTAGGTGCCATTCCCTAGGGGAAAGGATACAGGTCTTACTGGGTTCTTCTGTCCTCTTCATATAAGCATAGGGAGTGCCTATAAACTCTTTCAACCAATACACATGTGTTGAATACAGTTAATTTTGCCAATGAGAACCTATTTCTAACAGTCAGGAATTTCACTAATGCTAACTATGCATTTTGATTGGCATGTATATAAACCTTACTATGTGAGTTACAGACATACATGATATCACACCACATGTGCTGAAGTCTTAAATTACTGATATAGAAAAATAAACTCGAGTGAACGGCTGAGACACTACAACCACGACCTCTGAAGTAGCAACTGACAGAAGGAAGCTCTCCGCTCTTATTGCCTTGCTGTCATCCATCATTTAATCTGTTCAACTTCCCAACCCAAGGCCAGGATATGTGTGCTATTAAGAATAAAGATATCTGTCCTCAACGGCCATTGGAGGGGCTTTTCTTTTCTATTTAAATATAAAAAATTTGGTGGGGGCGGGGGAAGGATATGAGACTGCAGTTAAGAGAAAGGTCACCCATAAATTCAGATGGACTGAAACTAAGCCAATGATGGGGAGGGCTGAATAGTTATTGTGTCCCTGGGAGGAGCCAGGAGGAGCTTGTTGTTGATGGGGCTGATTCCTGGCAGAGACAGTTCCTGGGGCACCACGTAAATGTGTATTCTTCTCATGAACATTTGTTAACTCTGATTCGTATTGCTTTATCTTTGACAAGGACAGAAATGGACGTATTACTGTGAATGTGTTTCTTGTAACTCTTACAGAGAGATTCGGAATACCAGAAGCTTAACTTACATTGATCCTGGTGCCCTAAAAGAGCTCCCCCTCCTGAAGTTCCTGTAAGTATTAACTTCTACCCCATCCTATCCCCACCCTCTTTTTCTAAAGAGAGTTATAATGCTGTTGCCAGCCAGGAGTCTCCCTAGGATGCTGTGGGCCAGAGCCATTTTTGTGGTATATGGCCTGAAACAAATCACATCCTGTGATTTACACCCCAACCTTTCCCATCAGGGAAGGTATCAGGTGAAATGATCCACATTTGAAAAACCTATTTAAAAGTCAGCACATAATTCTGGGACCAAAGACTTAATCCAAGAAACATGAGGAAGAAAATACCCTTAAATGGAGTGTAACAGAACAAAACAAAACAAAAAACTCTGAGAGGCCATTGGTCAATTTTCTTAGGAAATGGGTACCACAACAATGTTAAAGTGACTGTCACAGAGAAAAGAAAAAGCCACAAAGGGCAAAATCTAATCTCTTGGAGGTTGGGAGGACAAAAATGGAGGAGACAACACTATTGCTTTGCTTTGGTGACACCTTATGAGCTAGATATAACCTATTTGAGAGCAGGGACCACAGCACTTTTTCTCTCTGTTGCATCTTTACTGCCTGGCACAGAGCAGGTGCTCAATAAAAAATGTGTTCAATGGAGGTGTATGTGTGGCCTCAGGTTCTCTAGGCACCCTCTGGAAAAACCCTTCCCTTCTTCCCTTCTCTCCTGCTCACATGCATTGTAAAAGATTAGAACACAAAAACATTATGAGGGGAAAAAATTAAAATCAACCTTAATCCGAATACTGAGAAATAATCCCAATTAAAATATTAGGTTGTTTCCATCTAGGGCTTTTAAATAAAAGTGTATATTCATATATATTTTATGAATTAGGTCTTTAAAGATGAATTGAAGTCATCCAGGAAAAGAAGGGGGAGAGGTAGAAGAAAAATACAGGTAGATGGATTAGCATGATAAAGACACAGAGGTATGGAAACATGTGTCTCATGTGGGACCTAAAAATGGTTCAGTATTGAAGAGGTGGGAGTGGGAGATGCAGAGAGAATAGAGGAGAATAGTGATGGAAGATGTGGCTGGAGGCGTATCTGGGGAGTAATAAAAACTTATGGGACAAGGCAATCACTCCTGTATGGATCTTGAGTTTCAATCAATCAATAATTCTTTGATACGATGATCCCTCAGTATGTGCAGAACTCTGCAGGAAACATATAGGATAATAAAACATTGTCCTTAAGCTTCAAGAAGCTTACAATCTAGTTGTTCCCAACATATGCCAGTTCCCACAAATGGAATCAAAAAATTCCTCTCCTACTGGAAAATAATGGTAGGTGATAAATGAGAGGTACAACATTATTTGGGGTCCAGGAAATTTGAGGGCACGTCAAAAAGGAGATGGACTTGTTTGGGGTTTTGAAGAAACGAGAGATCCTGGTTCCTAATCTGGCATTTCCAGCCCCGATACATGGTCCTCCCTTAACTCCAGAGCCTTCTTCCCTCCACACTCTTCCACATGAACCTCTATTGCAATTGACTAGTCTGTTTGTTGTTTGTTTGCTGCTCTTCACATGTTCTATATGGAATCTGAACTCTCTCCTTTGCTATCTGGAATATCCCATTTGCTCTTTCTGAGACCTCGGCCTCCTGTTTTCTTTCAAATCTTATGCCTTCCCCTCTAAGAGGAGTCAGGTCAGGGGCACCTGGGTGGCTCAGTAGGTTGAGCATCCAACTTGATTACACCTCAGGTCATGATCTCGTGATCATGAGATCGAGCCCCACATCAGGCTCTGCACTGAGCGTGGAGTCTGCTTGGGATTCTCTCTCCTCCTCTCTCTCTCTGCCCCTCCCTTACTTGCTCATGACTACACATGCCCTCTCTTCCTGTCTCTGTTTCTCTGTCTCTCTAAATAAATAAATAAATAAATAAATAAATAAACTAAACTAAACTAAACTAAAATAAAATAAAAGGAGTCAGGTCAGAATTTGCCTAAGAAGGTATATCAATGGAATAAGAGTTTTTTCTCTGCTGGAAGACTTCCTTTAAAACTTTCTTGGTAGTTACCTAAGTCTCACCCCATGCCATGCCACACTTGTCAAAAAAAATCTATTTCCACTACCTACATTGTAGTAGCTGCAACAAATATTAAATTAACCAAATCTGAGAGGAATCAGGAGCCTGAGAGTTGCTGTATTAGTACTGTTTTATGTACATCTTTTAATCTTGACATTTTTCCCTGATGACACAAACTTTGGAGAGTGAAGACATTATCATTGATTGATCGTATTCCTTGTCTAGACATATTTTCTAAATAGTACTGCTGCCATGCTATTCCCAGGTGACTTTCATGGAAAAATCATTCTTGGCAAAATAATGAACACAATATAATGTGGAGTTCTAAAGAGGAAGCCTGGCTTGGAGCTGGGTATTATATTGTCTTTCTACCCCATCCTCCCCCTATTCCACTGCCCTTTCCATAATGTCCTCCAATTAAAACAGGGAAATATCACACACACACACACACACACACACACACACACACACACAGAAACCTGAATTCCTATTTCTAGGAATCCTACTTGGATTCCTTGGAAAGAATCCTCTTATTCCTCTAAAAAGAAGAAAATGTATTAACCCTAGTGGACCGAATTAGATTCTTGTACCTTGAGGGAACAACATCCCATTCAAGGTTTAGGACTTGCCTACAGTCACTCAGGTATTGAAAGAAAGAGTTAGGATTTGATTCTAGTCTGACTTCAGAACCCATGCTATTACACTATTCTGCTTCCTATGTGTTGATTTTCTTACCTTATTTCTGTTCTTTTCTTCTCTTTCATGTGCTTTAGTGGCATTTTCAACACTGGACTTGGAGTATTCCCTGACCTGACCAAAGTTTATTCCACTGATGTATTCTTTATACTGTAAGTATACACACATGCAATATTTGGCAGTATTTTGTCACTGACAAGAAGTAGGATGCAGTCATAAGGGTTGGTAAAAACCAAGTGAAGCAATTGTCTCAAGGGGAAGAGAGATCAGCTGTTACAAACGCACTGGTGGGTGAAGCAAGGCAGGGACTGAGAAATGACCATTGGGTTTAGTAATATGGCACTTTGGTGACTCTGACAAGAGCAGTTCCACAGGAGCTCCAGCATGAAGTCTGGTTGGAGTTGGCTCAAGAAAGAGTCAGAAGGAAACAAAAAAAAGAAAGAAAAAGAGTCAGAAGGGAAGAGTTAGAGACAGTGGCCATCAACTCTTTTGAGAAGTTTTACTCTTAAAAAAGAGTGGTAGTTAGAGGATATTGGGTCAGGAGAAAAGGCTTCTTTTTGTTGTTGTTGTTTGATGGGACAAATTATGGCATGCGTGTTTGCTGATGCAATTATTGAATGGAAGGGAAATTTGATGATAATGATGATACTTTATTTTCCACATAGTTTTTAATAGCTTTTCAAACACTTTCCCAGGCATTATGTTTACTTCTCTCAACCACCTTATAAGGTATAAATGGAAGTTATAATTTTTTCTTTTTTTTTTTTTTAATTTTTTTTTCAACATTTATTTATTTTTTGGGACAGAGAGAGACAGAGCATGAACGGGTGAGGAGCAGAGAGAGAGGGAGACACAGAATCTGAAACAGGCTCCAGGCTCTGAGCCATCAGCCCAGAGCCCGACGCGGGGCTCGAACTCACGGACCGCGAGATCGTGACCTGGCTGAAGTCGGACACTTAACCGACTGCGCCACCCAGGCGCCCCTATAATTTTTTCCATTCTACAAATGAAGAAACTGAGGAATTGAGAATCTAAGTGATTTTGTCTGAGAAGAGTCCCAAGGAGTAGTAACTAGGGGTGTTAAAACTGCTTCCTGTGATTTCTGATTGGTGGCCATGTGCCCTTTTCCAAAACCTGTGACACAGTCAAGTGTCTTACCTACTTGTATAGAAGTAAAAGGACTTATGCAGTTACAGGTTGAGTCTGCGCTACAGGAAAATGTGGAGTGATAGGATCTGAACTCTCAGGATTTTGCTAGAAAAAAATGACCACACTCCTTTGCTGCAGAAGAGCTCAGTTCAAAATGTAGGCAGTCTTCTTGCAACTAGACTGGCACACAAATGTTCTCCGGAAGCATCTGCTGGCAGTGTTTTGCAAGTAGAGGACACTCTGTAATATTCATGAAAAGAAATTCATTGATCTCCTTCTACCAACCCTTCTTATAGGTTCCATACACTTAGAAAACTCTAGTTACTCTGGACAAAGTATTGGTCGCAGATTTACAAGAATACTCTAGATCCACCTGGTCCCCTTGCAAATGAGGATTAAGTCGGGGACCTCAGCCCACACTCAAAGTGCACTTGCTTCCTGCACGTTTGGGGCTGTGATTGCATGTCCACCTGGGAGAGCTCTCAGCACCTCACTGGACCTCTAGCCACTAGCAGCTAAGAAATGTCAATGAAACTTAAAAAGAAACAAGATTAAACTAAATTGTGTCAGGTTATTTATTTGAGAGCATAGGTAGAGCAAGAGCCCAGCTCCAGAAGGAAAGCATTTTTTTTTACCAAGTGTTTTTTCCCCCTCTTTTGCAGTGAAATTACAGACAACCCTTACATGACGTCCATCCCTGCGAATGCTTTTCAGGGACTGTGCAATGAAACCTTGACACTGTGAGTAATGCCAGTTCTACTTCTACCAAAATGCAATTTTTATTTGGACCACTGTCGTATTTTCATAGCCCATCCAAGAAATATACTATAGGATGTGCTGTATCATCTACTAAAGTAGTTAAGAGGATTGCCTCATGGTATGGTACTCAGCAGATGACAAAATGGTTTAGGTAACAAGACAAGTATTCTCCTGTACAAATGGTCAGCATGATTTATCTGTAGAAGACCATTTAGGTTTTATAAACCACATGGCCTTTGTGGCAATTGAAAAAGGTAGCCATACACAATACATAAACTAGTGAGTTTGTTCCAATAAAATTTTATTTACAAAAACAAGTACTGGACCAGATTTGACCGGCATACCTTATAATATAACTGTATTCTAGTATCCATATTGTGTAGAGGAAGAACCTGGGCTTAGAGCAAATTGAACTCTTCCAAGGTCACTGAGTTCGAAAATGATGCCACTAAGGGCTTCTCATGCTCTCTGTACTCACATTCAACTTCGTCATCACAACTATTATGAAACTCCTATAAAGCCATATTGAATAGAAAACAGTATTGTTCTATATCATTACTTTTCCAGAGTTTGAATGGGTTCTGCTCTTTAGATAAAGGAGAAGTTTATTAGAGAAATTTATAAAATGTTCTAATAAGTCTAATAGAAGTATAAAAGTTAATTCTCCAAACTGGTAGGAAATTCCCCCTCTTTCATGAAATTAGCCACAAAATAAAATTGAGGTTGTCCAAAGGATCCCTTGTCTCTAGCTTCAATACCACTGTCCAAGCTCAGGCCTGGTGGTGTTTTTGCCTGGAATGTCACCCAGCTCCCTTTCTCTGGTCACACTACAGTCCAGGGGTTCTTTATCATATATAAATTTGTTTGGATTATTCCCCAGCACAATTGATCCAAGCCTCCCCTGCCATTCTTGTAAGGGCTGCTTCCAAGCCATTCTAAGTCTATCAATCTAGGCCCGCTGAAGCTATCTCAACCTCTGGGACTCTATCCACAGTGGAACATTTCAGTTCATCCTTCTCGAAACAAGGAGAGAGCTCTCTTGAAAAGAGACTCGTTCTTGGCCACCATTTCATCTGACAACACAGAAAAGACCTGGAGTCTTAGCCTGCTCAGTCCCAAACCCCAAGGCCATTTGTCTCCTCTGTAAAGGTTTCCATTGTACCACTTACCACTCATTGTATGTAAACTACTTTCTCAATTTCTTTACAGAAGGTTACCTTCAGCTTTTGGCATTTTTTTTCCTAAGGACCTCATATCCCAAGCAGCCCTCTCAAGTAAAGTAAAAGCTGCTGGTTGTCCCACTGAGCACAGGCCCCAGTAGGTGTTTAACAAACATCCAAATAAGGGAATCTCATGCTTCCTGCAATCTAGTGGTGGGGATGGCATGAGTTGCCCACTATCTTTTCAGATGATTATTTTTACATTCCTGAAAAAGAATGTTCTTGCTTCTTTGAAGCTCATGCTCAAAAAAGTATGAAAGGGTATGAGTCCAACAGCAGAATTTATATGCATATTCCTGTTAGGATAGAGTTTCAGAGTTTGCAATCCTTTTTTTTTTCTTTTTCAATATTTTTTCTTCCTTCACTTTTTTCCCTTTTTTAAGGCCTGTTTGTCCAGTAAGAGTTTTATTTAATCTCTGAAATGTAATTCCAACAAAGAATATTTTCATTGTCTAGGAATCTCAGTAAAGTTTGGGAGAACAGAAATCTCAAACTCACGATTCTCATATATAATATAAAAGAACTCTAGTTCAGAAAAAATTATCAGAGCTTTCTTCAGCCTCTGTGCCTAGCACCCCTGTGTATTGCAATCCTCACCCAGGACACATTAGTAGCTGGAATTAAACTCATTGTATGATTATTTAAAACTAATAAAAAATAAAAACAAAGATTAGTCTCAGTTCTCCATAACTACATAGGATAAATGCCAGTTTTCAGGGTATCCCTTTTAACACGGTCATGTCCTAAGTGTCTCTCACCAATAAACATATAGCTATTTGATCCTCCCAGCAACGTTTTGGTTAGGTATTAATATCATATTTCTTACAGATAAGAAATCTGAGGACAATAGAGGTTGAGAAATTCTCAGGATCACATATGATGAAGTGGCAGAGCCAGATAAAATTCCAAGTGAAGAGTCTCTTGCATGCTTCATAGCGTGTCACCAGAGTTAACAGGTGGTGGGTACAAAGGTTTTCAGAATTCCCCTACAACTGTCACTAGTTGTACTTGACTGTGGTCATGGCTGCCTTCTCTTTCTGGATGCCAATAGCCCCCATGCATCCCCCTGGAGACCAGAGCTCCCATGGCTAGGGCTCCTTTTCCTTTGGGTACTTAGGAAGAATCACTTCCTGAGGACAGAAATCCTGACTCCCGGCAGCTCCGCCTCAATGTGGCTTTGGCAAGTCACCCCCACCTCTCAGTAACTTGAGTAGTACATAGAGGAGATGACACTTCAGTCCAGTCCCAGGGATCACCGCACAAAGTAGCTAGTCACGGAAACATAGCAACCACTTAAAACATCAAAATTTCCACAAAAGAGAATGCTCTACCTGTTTTCTTAGATTTGTCTTTGAAGTTCGATTTGATTCAGCCCGCAACCATTAAGCATTTAATCTATGATAAGCCCTGAGGACAAAAATGTGGATAAAACACAAATGTGAAGTAGCATTTTAAATAGGAAAATATAAAGCTTATGCATTCAGATGAATAGTATCTTTTAAAATTGACCTCTTAAGAAACTGAAGTTATTCCTCCATTACTGACATTGAATTAACTGTTACCTGAAACTCTTCTTTTTTGAGTATAGGTAAAACATTTAAAAATCAATCTTTTTTTCCCATCCCCCATGGTTGATGGGGGGGTGGGTGATGGGCGTTGAGGAGGGCACCTGTTGGGATGAGCACTGGGTGTTGTATGGAAACCAATTTGACAATAAATTTCATATTTAAAAAATAAAAAATAATAAAAATGAAAAAAATAAAACAAAATAAATCCTTAATCGTGGCAAATCTTTGCTCTTCCAACTAAATCCACTTCTGAGAAACAGTTTGAAGTTACTGGGAGATGTGTGGAAAATGGGGATTCACCCTGGGAGATATTACTCTATGTTCCAAGAAAGACATACTGTAAAGTTTTCTTGTGGGACCTGAGAACCTTCATGCACATTTCTGATACCACAGAACTGAAGCCCAACCCTCACCTCTTATGGGTCACTGATTTCTCCTCTCTCTGTTGATTGTAGGAAACTATACAACAATGGCTTTACTTCAATCCAAGGACATGCTTTCAATGGCACAAAGCTGGATGCTGTGTAAGTCAAGGGTAATCATGGAAACCACTGTTTTCCTTCACATTCCCACACCCATTCAATGGGGAATCAACCCATGGGTCACAATTCTGTTAGAGATAGGTTCTACCAGAGCATTCCTCAAACCCAGAGTTAGCATGACCAAAACGTGGAGATGATGTTAAATAACTTAGCAAGAGGCAGCTTTAGTATATACTTACAATGACCCCAATTCTAAATCCCAAAGTTTTATCCTTGATAAAATGGAGAACCATGGTCTCATCTTCAGTTTCCTTGAGAGCTTGTTTGGAGGTTCTAGCAGGATTGTGCAGCTACTTATAAACCTTTGACTGAAGAACAGTACTTCTCTACAGGGGCAGGTTGTCCTCTTCGACCAAGTGCACAGCTTCAGGAGGGATGCACATGAAGTGGTGAGAGAGGAGGGGGCACACCTGCCTAGCCAGCCAGATCAATGGACTCAACCCTGGTGATCAATGGGGTGACAGATGTCACAGCCAGATCGCCCTCACATCTCAGTTTTCTTGTAGGGGTGTGTGTGTGTGTGTGTGTGTGTGTGTGTGTGTGTGTGTGTAAACATTAATCTATATGTATATGAAGTAAAAGGTGTCTTTAATTGAGTCCAAAGCTGTTCAGAAAGTAAGGTTTATCTTTTTTGTGTTTTCTAGCACTTTTCCAAAAGGTTTAGTTTATATTTGATTCACTCAAAAATAGCTGAAAAGACATATCCAACTTTTGCCTGCCCCCAAAATAAATAATGCCTAGAACAGGATGTTGACCAAAAGATAGCCATCGAACTGGGGTTCTGTCTTTGTTGTACTTTTCTGTCAGATCTTTAGGGCCCCCAGTATCGACACCAGAATATATGTTGTATCTAAGAGCTTGTGGGCCGGCTCAGCCCTACTAATTTGTGTTTTAACTTAATATCTAATAAATGATAAAATAGCTTTAGTAGAGTCTCCTTCCCACGGTGTCGTGGACGAATTAACTTGTAGGGCCTTCCTACTACCAAACCACTAGATCATACATTTAAAAAGATTATATTTTATGTCATAGCTCCAAGAGAGGGAAAAGAAACCAGGAGCTGAAGCCAAAGTGGTGGGTGCTTACAGAAGGTGGACATTCCTAGGGATGGCTGCCAAGATCAGTGGTGCCAAGATACTAGGCTTTAGTGCAGTGAGAAGGCAGGGTAGTGAGGTCAATCAGAGACTTCTAGATTAAGCCAGAGAACCTGGACCAGAGCTGGAGTGGTACCACCCTAGGAGTACCTTCTGATTCCAGCAGAAATAAATGCAAACCTCGACAGAAGGAAAAAACCAGTGCAGGCCCCCTAGATTTTTTAAAGATCAAGATCAATCAGATATGTATGAGCTCACAGTCAAAAATCACATATAGGAGGGAGTGCCTGCGTGGCTCAGTCAAACGTTTGACTCTTGAGATCAGCTCACATCATGATCTCATGGTTGTGAGATCGAGCCCTGTGCAGGGCTCTGTGTGGAAAGCGTGGAGCCTGCTTGGGATTCTCCCTCCATCTCTCTCTCTCTCTCTCTCTCTCTCTCTCTCTCTCTGCCTTTCCCCTGCTTTCACGACTCTCTCTCTCTCTCTCAAAATAAATAAATAAACATTTTTTTTTAAATCACACATAGAAGAAAGAAAACCCCCCCATGGTAAGAGTCAGCTGGAACAACAAACAACAGATTTTTGTTTGTTTAATAACATATCGCTGAGTATTTTTTCAACAATTATATTTTCTTCAATTCTAGAACTTCTATCTACTTTTTTAAAAAATTTACCTGCTTATTTAAAAAAAATTTTTTTAATGTTTATTTGTTTTTGAGAGTGGAGAGACAGACACAGTGTGAGAGGGGGAGGGTCAGAGAGAGAGAGAGGGAGACACAGAATCTGAAGCAGGCTCCAGGCTTTGAGCTGTCAGCACAGAGCCCAACACAGGACTTGAACTCATGGACCGTGAGATCATGACCTGAGCTGAAGACGGACAACCAACCGACTGAGTCACCCAGGTGCCCCTGCCTGCTCATTTTTGGCAGTCTTACTTCTTACTCATTTTTGTGATTCCATCTTTTTTTCTCTTTAAACATTTCATATGTAGTTATTTTATATTCAGGGAGTGATTGTCGCAAAACCTGAAGGCCTATGGTTCTAGATCTGTTCTTATACAGTGCTTCTCAAACTTTACTGAACATGTAAACCATCTGGGGGATCTTGTTAAAATGCAGAATCTGATTAAGTAGATCTGGGGTGGCCCCAGGACTCTGCATGTCTAACAAGCTCCCAGGTCATGATGCTGCTGCTGATGCGTGGACCACACTCAAGCAGGGGAAGGTGGATGACCTACAGAATCATGTGCAGGGGCCCTGGATGCAAACATGCAGACAAATAACACACATGCAGATTAAGTGGTCTTGTTCTGACTTAGGAGTTAAGTGGTTAATTCTGGTAGGATTCCAGCTTTAAAGAATAAATTCTAATAGGTTTTGAAGTCATTAAACCCCGGCATGGCCTTATGAGTTCCATTTGAAGTGGGGGTTCACTCTTTGCCAGGCTTTTGGTTTTCTCATGATCTTTATCAGATAGAGATTAGAGGGGCACCTGGGTGGCTCATTTGGTTAAGCGTCAGACTCTTGATTTCAGCTAAGGTCATGATTTCACAGTTCATGAAATCAAGCCCCACGTCGGGCTCTGTACTGACAGTGTGGAGCCTGCTTGGGATTCTCTCTCTCTCCCTCTATCTCTCTTCCCACCCACCCCCCACTTGTGCCCTCTCTCTCTCTCTCTTTCTCTCTCTCTCTGTCTCTGTTGCAAATAAATAAACTTAAAAAATAGAGATTAGAGTACTTTTCTCTAAACTGTCTCATTAAGGTTTTAGTCATTTTAAAAATACACAAATAGAAGACTGAAAAGACTCAACAGAGTAACATGAAAACTTATACATCAATTTTATTTACAGTATTGGAAAGACCCTACTTCTGTCTTAACTTTATCATACAAATCTTACATAATCCTTCATTTATTTTTCAATGTATTTATTAACACCGACAATGAGCCAGGTACTGTGCTATTCACAGGTGACACAAAGATGGAGAAGAGAAATGTGCTCCCTGCCTACACTGAGCATGCGTTCTTAGTGGCGTCAACTTGAGGGCAGCAGTACTAAGGGTCAAAGCACAGTAGGGAGAGATGAGCCATATCTAAAATATCCATTTCAGATTGAAAATAACTAAACACTGGGGTGCCCAGGTGGCTCAGTCAGTTAAGCGTCCAATGTCAGCTCAGGTCATGATCTCTTTGTGAATTTGAGCCCCACATCGAGCTCACTGCTGTCAGCACAGACCCTGATTTGGATCCTCTGTCCCCTTTCCTCTCTGCCCCTCCCTCCCTCCCTCTCTCTCTCAAAAATAAACATTAAAAAAAAAGAAAATAACTAAACACTAAATATTCAATAACATTGGCCTCCTTACTTGGAGGTATAAGCATGATTTTCCCTAGATTTATCAAGTTTTTTTTTAATTATTAGCATTCAACTTCAATATTATGTGAATCTAAGCAAATATTTTCCTCCTTGATTCAACTATTCCTAGAAAGCTGTGGTCTTAAGGGAAATAATTTTCCCAATTCAAATTTACTGTGAATAAAACAGAGAATTGGGACTTCTTAAAATAATTAAGACAATTCGAGATGCCTAGGGTATAAAGATATCAGAAGACTGTCACACAACCATGCTAGACAGCAGGTGCATTAAGATGTTAGCATTAAGGCAACAGAGAGCCACATTAGTAAGGGCAGGGGTGGGGACAGTGAAGAAACGTTCAACCAGGGAGACCTAAGGTGGTTGTAAGGCTTCTGAATTCAGTGTGTCTGGCTGGCTCTTTTCTGAACCAAAACCGCTTTTTCAGAATGCTAGATGAGATTTTAAAAAACCCAGAACCCAACCTCAGGTATAGAGTCATTTGTTTGTGAAAATTTTATTTGTCACAAGCAAAAGATTTTAAAGCCCATGATTAGGAGTTGTGCTTTAAATTATCTGTTCCTTTATCCTGCTATATGTAGTCATTGACAGTCATTGACTCTCCATCACTCTCATTTTTTAAAAAAAATTTTTTAGTGTTTATTTATATCTAAGAGAAAGACAGAGACAGAGCACAAGCAGGTGAGGGGCAGAGAGAGAGGGAGACACAGAATCCAAAGCAGGCTCTAGGCTCCAAGTTGTCAGCACAGAGCCCAACGCAGGGCTTGAACCCACGAACTATGAGATCATGACTTGAGCCGAAGTCAGATGCTCAAACAACTGAGCCACTCAGGCACCCCTCAGCTATCATTTTTTAAGCACAGAGATGTGGGGTGTAAAATTCAGCCTTTGGGGCTACACAGCATAGTTCTTAATACTGGCCAAAAACTGAAATCACCTGAAGAGATTTGGAAGCACAGATGCCTAGGTTTTACCACACATTCTGGTGTAATTGGTTTGGGTGTAGCCAGGGCATGGCCATTAAAAAATCTCCCTATGTGAGTCCGGTGTAAAGCAAGAATCAAGAACCGTGACTGCAGAGTATGTTATTATCAGTCTTTTTGTCCAACAGTCACAGTTGCTTATGAAGAGAATGAAGCCCAAAGTGAACAAACACGTGATTTTTTTTTTTTTTTAACATGGCTTTTTAAATTTGGTAAAGCTAGCTGGTGGAGCCAAACCAAAGCCAGGACCTGGATCCCCTTGTTCAAGACTCTTTTTCCTGTGCCCTCCTGGGATTCATATTTGCTGACCTAGCAGCCACGACCAAGGCTTGGACAGGCAATTCCTCTGGCTACTGTGGTTTGTTACTTAGCCCAGGAAAATGGGCTAAGAACACTTCTTAGCTCAGTCTATTACAGGCACAAAATACAGAAGCTAAAATATCTTGCAGCTAAGAAGAGTGCACTTGGGAGAGAAAAGAGGCCACTCAAGACTCAAGAAATAACCTGTAGAAGTTTCAGAAAAGAGTCACCCCAAG